ATTCTGCAATATTGGTTAAACAACTAGTATTCAATGTGGTTTCAGTAGCTTACAGCCAAAATAAATGTTTGTGGTGCAGATAAAAGAAATATATGTAAAAAATATATATTTCCATACAGACCCAGTTCTTTGTAATCAAGTGTAAAACTCACGTTTGTTCCAAACGTCATGGTGCTGGGGATGAGGAACGTGTAGGAACTTCCAAATCCAAACTCTCTGCTGAACTCACACGACTGTGAGCCGCTCTGCAAGGTGAACGCTTTCCTGATGAAGGAGGAAGAAAATATCTCAAACTAAAGCTGCTCCGCTGTGAGTGCGAATTGATCCTTGTGGTAATAAAATACTTGGAAAAGCTCTGTTACCTTCCATTTTTTATCTGGGAGTAGTTAGAAAAATAAAGGGGCTGAATTTGTCCAAAGGAGGCTCCAGCAACAGAGACATTTACCGCTCTGCTCATTCCATTAACAAACCTGAGATGAAATATTAAGACCAGCCATTAAAACTAAAACTGTTTTAACAATTTCCACTGCATTGAAAGCAGCATATGTTCATTTTCATTTATTAAGAATTAATAACTAAACTTACCGGATTGCATTGTTTCCCTCTTGTGGCTTGGAAGTTAAATCCTCCATCTAAGATAAAGGATTTTTATTAGTTTACCCTTAAATTGTCTTCCCGTGTGTCTTTATTTTCTTTAACTCACCAGCTGCCACTCGTCACTGATGCTTGAGGGGAAGAGAAGAGTTTGTCGCTCATTTTTGGTCAAAACAATTCTTTTTGTAAATGAAGGGCTGCCGACTGTGACGTCAATTTGCTCTTCTTCAAAAGTGAAATAGTCGTCGCTGGCCTGCAGAGTTAAACAGAATTTTAAAAACATTATCTGAAACAAACGTTGATATAACGACACATTTCTTGCATCTGAATTGTGAATCTTAAACTTCTTTAGAAAGTTGTGTTAATTAAACGAACTGACCCAATGTGGATGCAGATTCACCGTCTTATTGCCCGTAAGCTGGACCGTGATGGAGTTGTTCCCCATGTTCAGTAACTTTAACTGGCTCTGGGAGGTGGATGGGAAGATGGGCAAGGTTTTCTGAAAATGACAGAACAGCACTTTGTTTTTAAAAACTTCGTCTTGTGTTTAGACTGGATTAACCCCTTGGGTGAATTGTAGTTTACCGTGGACTTACATCGATTTGAAGCTGGACCACACCTGCGCAGACAAAAGCAACAGCAGCCAGAAACATTCCCACGGTCATTCTCTTCAGAGGTCTGTTGACACAAAGCTCTGTTACACATCTGCTTAAAATGTCAGCATCCAAAAAGTTTATTAGAGAAACATCTTCCCTTTGTCTCCACAGCGTCGTTCCTTTTATCCTTGATGTTGCGATGATTCAGATTATATAAAAACACTTTGAAGAGAAATCCTTCAAGATTTATTTTTAAATTTTTATTCTGGGTTTAAAAGTATTTGCTTCAAGTTTATAATACAACAGAAACAGTCCTTAAATGAGACCTTTCAGGGGTAGTTATTGTGATATGATTTGATTTGATTTATTGATTTAACAGGAAAAGATTACTAAAACTCAAGCCTGACTCAGCGTAATTGCTGTTTTACAGCAGGTTCCTGTTCTGCAGCACATAAAACACTCAGAATTACAGCATCACAATCACATCATTGCACACCATAGACACAAAGACAAACAAGCATACCAAATTTCAGGAAGGCAGCATTTGCAAAATAGGACGTCTAAATATGAGCACAACAAAAAGTGTCCAGCAGATGGCAGACAAGATTCTTCTTGAAGGGCTGTAGTTTTGAAACGGACTTTATGTTTTGAGGAATGTCATTCCATGCTTTAGTATAAACATAGAAGAAAGACCTCTGGCCGTAACCGTTTTTAAAAGTTGGTAATGTCAGTTGTCCTTTTGATATAAAGATCTGCACACAGATTGGTTCTCATTTCTGTTGGGATGACTGAAAATAATCATTTTATTCACCAATCAAAACCTTACACATTTATAGTTTCAGATGGGTGGACTTTTATTTATTTTATTATGTTGCTATCCAAACAAAGCACGATTAAATCCACAGTTTGAGCTGTAAACAAAATCCTGAGGGCTTTGGAAATAGCAACAATGATGCAAAACAGAATCCAAAAACAAATTCATGATTGGCATATAATTGTATGACATCTCGCTGCGCTAATAGTTCGTTTGATAGGAGTATGGTTGCATTAAAAACAGCAGCTGCCTTTTCTTGCCAGTTATATTGTTTAAAAAAATCTTTAGGTTGTAAAAATGACCACAAACATTTGATTGAAAAAACATTTTTGTACTTTCATGACCAAGATTTATTTACTGCATATTTTACTGTTAGATTTAAACCTGACACAAAAAGTACAGAAATTTGTGTTTGGTGGATTATTTCTTTGTTGTAACGATGCGTCTTGGCAATAGATCTTATACGGTTGGAAAGCCTGTTAATTTCCCATTTAAATGGTGCAAAATTTGTAAGGAACACTCATTTGTGGGATGAGCAGGACAGGTTGCTCAAAAAAAAAAAAAAGCCAAATTTTCTCTGCTAAACAGCTTATTTTGCTGCCAATAAGATTTATTGTCAAAAAGTGTTGTTACAACAAATAAATAATCTACAAATACAAAGTGACTTCCTTTTTTTTTGTGGTAAACATAAATGCAGGAGAGCCACTCTCAACTGTTTCAAGTTTATAACAAAATGTTCCTAAATGTTCAGCTTTTCATTTTGCAGAGCTTCTCATTGATTATCAGTAAAAACAAATGGAAAATGGAACTCGTGCCTTTCGGACATCTTACTTACGTAAAGTTCAGACCACACTTTTTGATGAGAGGGTAAATCACGCTGTCCATAATTGGCACCAGAGTCAGGATAAAGATGGGGTTGACCGTCTTTAACAAACAAAAGATGTGAATCTCCTTTATGTTACTTTAAATCTGAGCTGAAGTGATAAACTTTTATTGTCTTACCTGCATCTGATCCGGCTGAATAACAATTGACCCCTGCACACATAAAGAAAAATGAACATGAACTCACTGCTTTAGTAAACCATGAAAATAAATATATTTTACCACCAAGCTTACAAAATTTCCATCCATCGTTGTGGCTTGCAGAGTCCATCTTGAACCCTTTAACAGAAATGTAAAACTTAGCATAAGCCCTGCCGCAAACAGGCTCTGTTACCTTTCCAAAAAGATGTCTGACCTTTTGATCGAACAGGGTCCAGAACATCGGCAGAGGGATGTATAAAAACAGGACCTTCAGCACCATTTTTATCTGAGCAATGAGGAGTTTCTGCAGCACAGGACAAAAGAATGAACAAGTGTGCCGGTCCACTGAAGAGGCAGCTAGTTCTTAACCAAACTACAAACTTACACCATATTTTTCCTCGGCCCAGTCCATCCAGTGCTCCCTCTTCGGGTATTTGCTGCTTCTGTGTCTGTAGCGATTTTTTATGGCAAACTAAAACACAAAGGAAAAAAATGACATAAATGGGATTTTAGAAATTAGAATTTTAGGCAATCTATGATTAATAGTTTATTAATCTGAACAGGATTAAACTCTATTTTTCTAAACCAGGGGGCCAAGACTTGGTCCAAGTCAAGGGCCAATTCTGTAAACTTTTATTGAAGAAATGTTAAACAACGAATAATTCCTGTAAAAATACAAATAACCTTTTCCAAATCATGTTTTATAGCATTTAGAACATAAATAACCTAACAAATAAAGAAAAAGATTCATCATTAGCATTCATTTAATGTCTTACTCTCTATCAGCAACTTTTTCATTTATTATTTCTTAAAGATACATTTTATCACAATCCAGCAAACCAGGTAAAACCCTCACCAAACATCCAATTATTTGACTTTAAAAAATAAGAAAACATGGTAAAGGTAATTAAAGTTGATTCTTTGCTGCCCTTTCCACACAAAATCAAAAATTACTGAAAGATTTAAACGTAATTTTCTTGTTTTGAAATTTGGTCAGCTGTCATGAGAAGACTAGACCAAATACAGGAACAGAGAAACCATAGAACTATTTCATATTTAACATATTACCTTATGGGCCAGATAAAATGGTAATGAGGGCCAGATTTGGCCCACAGGCCTTAACTGTGACACCTGTGCTCTAAACAGAGAATGTTCAAGGAGCTATCTACAACAGGTAAGATATTAACTGTTCGTAATCCTCACACAAAAACCCGATTAAAAAAATGACTTACCCCTATACATTTACACACATCCAGCATGATGTTCCCCTCAGGTTTAGCTTTGTAGTACATGCCACTCCCGACGATAAATACAACTGTGGAGGAAGATGATCAGTTTCTACATCTAATCTGAGATTAAAACCCTTATGGGATTGTTACATACTGAGTGCGACCACCATCAGCGCTGCAGGGACTCCAAAAGCAAGAGAATAACATTTCTGCTGACTGTAAATGCCGCAGTCCTGAGCTGCAGATGGAAACAAGTTGTTTTAATTAAATTTTCTGCTTAATTTCTTCATGTTGATTGCATGTTTTTCAGAGTCACATCTACCTCTGAGGATTGGAGTGATGATGGTCGACAAAAGACTTCCACCGTTGATGCACAGATAGAAAACTGAGAAGAAGGTTCTCCTTTGTTTTTCCTACAAAAATAAAAACTGTAAATGTATAACACAACAAAGGAAAGGCATTACCTGCACATTTCATCCTCTTAGTATGTTTTTTTCTGCATGTTTGAACACTACTTGTATCTCTGCTTTTACCTATATTTGACCCATGTGTAAAAACCTGGCACAAAAAAAAAAAGGGTATGGTGGACTATTTCTTAGTTGTAGCGATACGTCTTGGATAAATTTTGTATAGTTGGAAATGGAGCCACGTTTATGAACATGCATTTGTGGGATGAGCAGTAGAGCTGAATATGTGAGTTGTGCATATTAAAAAAAATGCCAATTCATTTCTGCCAAACAGCTTATTTTGCTTTTGCTGTTGACACTTGTTTTGAGCTTCTGGAACCAACAGGTGCTGCCAATCAGGTGCTGGTATAAGATTTATTGTCAAGAAGAAGAACAAACATAATCAAGAAATTAGAATAAAAAATAACTTTAATAAAAAAAGAAATAATTTAAACACAAAATTCCTTCATTTTTGTGCTAAGTTTTTTTTATCAAACTAGTTTTAGCAGTTGCAGTGCTGCTGCCTAATTTTGTCTCTTGTGCACACAGTATGTCCTTTGGATTTTGGACTTTTTATCTATGTTGTGACTCATCCCTGCTGCTTTAGAAATCTTTCTCTGGTCAGGGGCTTTCAGAATACGTCTTTTAGATGAATGAGAATTAGAGTAGTAAACTTGAAACATTAAAATGGTCCATTTTGATTAATCTTTTGTTCAATCAGTTGTTGCCCCTTCTACATTCATTTATTATTAGATTATGAGTTTAAAATTGAACTTCTGGATTTATATCACAGTTTCAGAACAGTCTCAAGCTTATAAATGAAGGCAAAATTACTCTTTTTTAAGGGTTAGGATCTAAAATTGCAGATCACTAGGCAGAAGCTATTATAAAGTGGCAGCTGTGACATAACCTCTTGACAGATCAGGAGAATTGCAAAAAGAGATACAACACATGACTGAAAAACAGGGAAAGGCGATTAGTGGATGAATGCAGCTGGGTTAATTACAGACAGACAGTGGTTGTGTAAATAAATGCCGTGTTTTCTAAGTAAAACACAGATAGCAGCTGAAAAACACCTGAAAGAAACATGAAAAATAACCGAAACATTGATACCAAAAAGTGGGAAGTAAAGGGAACTCTAAGGAAATGAAATAAATGACAGCACAAGAACACCAGAGAACCCCACCAATCTGACAAACTGTTCTTCAGTGTGCTAAAAAAATACAAAAAATATAAATTATTTCCTAAAAAAATTTATTGATGAATGTTGAGAACAAGATCTGTTGATCATTTTCTTTTAATTTACAAGTTTACATTAATACTGTTTTCTTGTAATACATTAATTTACAAGAAAACAGTAAGGCCAGCATTTGTGAACAGCGTATGAATGCCTCAAAAGAGGGATTTTAGTACCAAATGTTTATCACCTACAAAGTTATTATAAGCAATACCAGCAAGTTACCAACAGGAGTATTTATAATGTCAGCAACAGAACTATCACTGTAAACACAGTGAGATTAGGATTTACAGCCCAACTGAATTGATAAATCACAGCAAAAAGCAGATAAAAGATTAGGAAATCAGTCACAAGCAATAAAACGTTTGAACTGTGGATGTTTTAATGRGCAATCTGAAGCTAAAGGTCAAACGTTAAAAGATAATAAGATGAAGGCAGATGTCAGTCTAACCTGGTGATCTCCAAACTGGTCTCCACCGAACGCAGCCACACAAGGTTTGATGCCACCGGTGCCCAGAGCGATGAGGAAGAGGCCCACCATGGACAAAACCCTGGATGTGACGAGGGAAGAAGAAGCACGTGACGTGGGGGAAAGAAATCTGACGTTTGACAGTGACTTCAATATTAAAGCCTACACATGAAAGGTCATGTTGTCAGGAGTCCCGTCTCTGTTTGTATCTGTGATGTCATGGATCGCACTGACCGCCATCGCCACCTGGCCGACGGCGTAGACAATGGACAGGTAGATAATTGTCCTGTGAGAGACATGTTACAGAATTTAAGCATTTAATTTTTAGGTAAAGGTGTAGTCATCAGACTGTTCAAATCCAAATTTTAGGCATCTTATTTATATAATTAGATTAATTTACTTCCTGCTGTATCTGATAAAAAATGGAGGAGTTTTTCCTGACGTGGGCGCAAATACAGAAATGGAACAACAAAAATTAAGGACAGTTTGTAGGACTTAATAGTTGCTCTCAGCAGAAATAAAAATGAAACAAAAAGGATAGTTAAGATGGGAGGAGTTTAACCCTGACCAAACTGACAAGCTAATGAGCATGGCCAGGACCAAAGTGGGGTAAACCCACTCCAGTCTCACATAAATGCTGTCAGTTTTGCTTTGAGTAATTATTCAGGCAACAATAATATAAGATTCCCATTCAACATGCCTCAGGCTGCAGTTGAAGTGCCACAGCTAGCTGCTGTTGTTGCTGTTTGGAGATTTCAGTCATTTGAGATGTAGACTAGCCATTAGCTTTTACTGCCAGTCAGAATTCAACTTTGCTCTAAATGGTTCAGAAAACTATGTGCAACAGGTGAGATATTAATTGCTCATCAGAACACTCTCTTTCAGGCAGTCTCTTACTTGAACTTCCCCAGCCAGGAGTCGGCCACGATGGCCCCGAGAATGGGGGTCAGGTAGCAGAGGGCCACGAAGGTGTGGTAGATGGAGGTGGCCAAGTCGTCGTCCCATTTTAAGAAGTACTTAAAGTACAGAACCAGAACCGCTGTGGAGAGGCAACAACAGCTTTGTTCTAAATCACATCTACAAAATATTTGAGATAATTTGGTGGGTTTTTTTTTTTCAGATTAGAAGCACTTTCTTAGGTTAATTTTTTGTTGTCAAATTCCAGCATTTTCATGAAAGAAAATAACCGAAACGCCTCACCTCTCATTCCATAGTAGGAGAACCTCTCACAGAACTCGTTCACTACAATGAAGAAGATGCTGAGAGGGTATCCACACACCTCCTTACTCTGGTTGGAACAAAAACAACATCTATACAGTTTCTGCAATTTTCCAATAAACAGTTCAAACACAAAATAGATTAAACACAAACAACAACATAAGAACCCTGCTAAATAAAAGCATACATATATTGTATATTGTATGTAAACATGATCAAAAATTTAATCTTAATAATGCAAAAAATACATTTAAAAGTATTATTTTCAAATGCAATAGGGATTATGTTTGAGTTCAAAATACTTATTTGTTTTTTTACTAAAAATGGGACAAATAATTAAATACGTTTCACTAATTAAATAAAAAATCCCTAAGTTTTGCACCAATAGGTTTTGATTTGATTTGAATAATTAACTGTTTCAATATRCTGAAAATGCACCTGGTGTCAGATAATTCTTGTAGTGCAATGCAATATAGATTATTAAAAGGATCAGTTAGGTTAAACAGTTATGTTACATAGTTATAACTATATGTTTGTACATTACCTTTCCTTTGTTTTTCTTCTCCTTTTTGAGATCTTCATGATCTGTGAGCAAAATATGTAGCAGCCAAATTAAAATAATTCACAACAATTTGATATATACTTACCTTTAAAATCAATAAATGTATAAAAGTATTTTGTCTCAACTTCTCAATTAGGATTCAGCTCATTCTTAAAAGCACAAAAATAAGATTAGTTTATAATCTCACCAGCCATGATGTCTAGTCAAAGCTGCTCCTTGTCACACTTAGATTTCCTTTGAGATTTGGTCAGAAAGTAGTTGATGCTTTATCTTTTTCCGGTGGGAGTGGGAAACTATATTTTATTACTGCTTTATTAGCCCTCGYTCTGCCGTTCACTCTGCTGACAGGGCTGTTTTTAAAGTGGGTGTGAACAAAGAGAGATAYGCTGATCAGAGTGTGATCAGTTTGTTGTTATAATAAGACATTTAACAGATACATTAAAAGCACAACTTTACTCGAATAAATGTATATTAAAATTGTCTTAGCCTGAAAACTACCTGAGCTTCATCTTACTGAACATTAACAATCCCGTATAATGTTAGATAATCTGTTGGAGCTCAGAGCATGTGTTGGAAATGACTCTCAACTACTACCACACAAAAGCTTTAGCTCAGTATTTTGATTTATCACATTTAACTCAGGATTGAGTCTCAAAGTGGTCTGCGGAAAAAAAGGCAGCTATAGTGCATGGGTTAAAACATTTGCAACAGTTGATTTTTGTCAAACTATAATAAATAAATTTGTTATTGATTGGTTGCTTAAATGAAATATCTGAAATATCATCCTAAATATTATTTTAAAGCCTTTATTTGAACAGTAGCTACCCAAAAACATTATTTTGAGCAGAAAAGCCTAATTTTTTTGTAATGTGTTTTGTTTGCCAGCTGGTAAGTCTTAATATTTTTGCGGTATCCTCTTTAGAATGACATCAAACATTCCTCAGATCAAATATCAATGAGCCATTCTGATTAGCAGGACAAATCAAGGCATATCTCTGGAACCGCTTCTATCAGGATGATCCGGGTYTCAAAAATCAGGAATCTGAAACTGTGCTGAGGCTATTTTGACCAAACTTGACTCAGTCCTCAGTTTGATGTGTCACATTTATAAAACTAACTGAGCCATCTCTGTTCTGAGATTGTTTCGTGGGAGCTATCTTGAACTGGGTTGACTCCAAAAGGTAATCAGGTGTGAGAAATATTTAACGACKGCTTTAAGAGTTTTAATAAAATCTGTTCTCTGGTTCGTGACTCTGACATCTAAGAACATTTCTAATAAAAACTGTAGTTTATCAAAGTAACCATCAGGGGCGGAGCCASAGGGGTGGTGGGTGTCAKCCCTGGTACTTGATTGGCCACAGCAGGTGCCATCCTCAAATGGGGTTCTTGAATTGTGTATTTGCATTTAGATTTGGTTAAAGATTATTCTCTGATACTACAGTATAAATTTTCAGCTGTGTATGCAATAAATAAATAAATTAAAAAAATTAATAAATTATAGCTCTTTGTAAAGTTAGCATTAGCATTAGTGGTTAGCTTAATTTGGGATTAGCATTTGCAATCAACATGTGATGATTCTTAGCTACTCAACAGAGTAGTCTTAAAAAGGCTGAATTATAGCCTTTTAAAGTTGCTGTGGTGGCCTTCTTGAAAATTTGGTAGATAGTTTTCAGCTATTTCTATAAGCTTCAGCTCTGTATGTTTGAATAATAAGTGAGCAATGAGTGAATAATAAGTTGTGACTAGTATTCAGCATGTTTTTTTAATAATTCTTAGCAATGATCATAAACTTTTAGCTCCATTTTTTTGGAGCAGCTAAATTAAAGCCATTTGGAATCAGCTCTTGTGGCCATTTTGAATTTTCAAATCCAGAGTGCTTTTCTTTATTTGTATGTGCCCCCCTACAAAAATACCTTGGCCACCCTTGTAAAAAAGTCTAGCTCCGCCCCTGGTAAACATCTGATATCAAAATGGCTGCACCACAGCTGTTTCCATTTGCAAAAGTGAATATGCTGTGTCATTCATTTTGAATCTGAGTCCGAAAGGTAATCAGTTGTAGAGAAACACGAMWTTCATTAAAACCTGTCCAGTGGTTCATGAGATATTTTGCTAACAGGCACTTCCACACACAGGCATTTTCTGACAGTCGATATTAAGAAGCGCAAAAGAAGGGAAATGAGTGTTTTATTTAAAAGATAAGCAGTAGGGAATATCTCTGTTTACAGCAGAACAGTGACTTGTGTTAAATATTTATATAAAAAAACAATGCTGCTGAAATATAAAACATTTCTTTAAACATAAAAACAAACACATAAAACAGCAAAAGCTTTTTTTTTCCACAGTAAGCGTTGTGTCTTCTCTCTGCACCTCGTCGCTTTGGCAAGAAGGTGAACATTTTCCTTACAGTGTCTGATCCCCACACAGCAAGATACTCTGCAAATATTGCACACAGTCCTTTTTTATATACAACATTGAACAATGTGGAATATGCTTTATGCAATGGCTTTAAATATTACAAAACTCCCTAAGACATTAAAGTGATTTAAGATGCAAAGAGTCCCATTCTGCAAAACTGCCTTTTCTGAAAATGTCACTAGATAATGGAGATGAGCTTCGACGTGTGCAACATTTATCATTACAGTGGCTTATAAAAGTGGAATACTGTACATAAAAACATAATGTGAAATACTATAAAAATTAGGAAAAAACTGGATGTTTGGAGCGGGTGATGTAGCAACATGCAAGTTTTAAAAAAAGATTCCCAAGAGGAATGTTTCCTTGGAAAACACTGCTTAGGTTTTGTCTCATAAAAAATGATATCTGTCCATAACGTAAAAAAAAAAGAAGTAACTTTTCTTCTCAGGCCTCTCCTCAGTGCTGTCTTCTAAACTGCCAACACGTCCAACTTTAGTGTGGTTAAAGAATAAAACTAGAGTCCAGTGTCTCGTTTTTGGTCGTCTGATTCGACCAGGGTGCAAAACAACAAGAGCGAGTCTCTGGTCCCAGCAGCTCATCTGTGAATCTACAATCCTTGATCTGGATCTAGATCATATCACAGAGGCCGAGTGCGGCATGCCCTGGATGGTGACGGAGGTCGGCGTGCCGCTGATGGCGTTGAAGATGTGAAGCGAGTCAGGGAGGACGCTCTTCATCCCGTCTTCCACAGGAGTGATCTGTGASGGAGTGTCGAAGAAAAAAATGAGACAAACACGATCCCCCATTCTATACTTAAACCTAAAACTACAGTCAGGATCCAAAATAATAAGAACATGAAAAAAAAAAGTTAAAACCTGCCTTAATTTTTAGTTATTAGAAATACTTCAAGTGTCTGGCTTTCATTTGTGATCATTTCCTTCTAAAACCTCAATCTGACTTTTTAAAAATGTTTCAATAAATTGTTCTTTACAGAACAGACAAGGTAAAAAAAATATCCCAGTGAACATCAAAGTTAAAAACTGGGTGATTTTCATTTCTGGGTGTCTGAATCCTTCTTTTTTTAACCTGCTATTTTATGTGTTTCTAAAAAATTTGTGTCACAAATAAGTTTAATTTATGAGGCTCCAAGCGTAAAATAAAAATGTTAAAAAATGTCAAATACATTTTAACTACAGTATTTAGCTCACTTTGAGTGTAAAATCCTACTTAAAACAT